TACCAGGATTAGGAAATAGTCCTCCATAAAATGTGCTGCACACATCTGAATATTTGGGTTGAACTGTTCTGGAACAGTGTTGTAAATACAACTTAACCACTGATTTGTAGTCGTGTCCTCTTTTGGAAGACCAAACAAAGTAGTTTCGCTTTCACAACGAAGCACACAGCGTCTTCAGGACATGGCGGCAGTGGCAACAATACTACAGTGAGAATAAAAGTTATGCCTTCTTTCTTTGCGTGAACATTTGGGCAGCGTTATGAAAATCTTCCCACATAGTGAGGTAGATATGTGGGGGCGTGTTAGAACGAGCCGTTTTAGGTAGGTGTGGCTGACTCTTAACTTTTATAAAGAATATCTCTTTGGATTTGAGACTTTAGTCTTTGCAACTTTACAGATCTTCTTTATGCACCAAGAGCTTGTATCACTTCAAAGAGAAAGGAAAAATTGAAATCGCATCATATGACCCCTTTAAACAGAACTGTTTAACTTTTGCTTTTTTGTGATATCATCATCATTTTATGATATCATCATGATATTTTGGAAGGTCGCCCTGCCCTCTTAGATATTGGCATTGGCCATCAAAAAAAACAATATTGGTCAAAAACTACCCATCATATACTACACGACTATGGATCACTAGCATCGACTCACCCAGATTGCAAATCGTCATGTAAAAAGTTTCGTAATGTATTCCAGCATTTAGGAAACGTTTAGTATTGTGGTATTGTTCTGGTTCTGTTTTTGGTTGTTGTTATTGTTGTTGTTTTTTTCATTTAAAAAGTTTTTTTTAAAGAAATTTTTGTATGCAAAAAAAAATCTCATTTCTTCAACAGTTGTATGACAATGTGCCTTACAGCAAGCACCTCCCAATCGATCGCTATAACCCTCCCAACCAGATGGGGGCTCCACCATCAAGCAGGCCCTCAATGGGCTATCAGCCTCCACTCCAAAACCAGTACCACCCCGCCCCACCTTACACCTCTACACCTCAGCCAGACTATGTTTACTCCTCCGCTGCCTCTTCCGTCCACAAACCTTACCCCCAACCAGTGCCTGCCTCCTACACCACCGCCTCCACCCCAACCGGCCCACGCTTCTCCGTACAGGTGAAAACAGCTCAGCCCGTCACCTATTCTCAGAGCGGACGGCAGGCAGAGCAAGCTTACACCCCTCCACCACCCCGCCAGCATGCCTCTTGCCCCCCTCAGCAAGAACGACCACATTATGAGCCACGGGGACAGGGCTGGTACCCACCGCCACCTCCTCCTGTACAAGAACCTCATGGAGATCCTGCTGCTTATAAGGGGGGATCAGGTAATATGCCAGGAGGGAGAGCCGGCCAGGGACAACCAGTGAAGAAGAGTCAAGATCAAGTGTCAGCATATCAATCTAACAAGGTAAGACTTATTATTTGGTGAGGATGATGCAGGTTTGTCAAGTTGTAGTAGAGACGGAAACTTTCTGTCATGAAAATGAACACAGAATTTCTATTGAGTGTTGTTTACAAAAAAAAAAAACAATAAAGATAAAAATTTTAAAAAAGCGAAAAAAGTTTTTATCTTTATGGTTTTATTTATTGTAGGTGAATAGTCCTTTATTTGCCAACTTGATAACAAATAAATAAAATCGTTTTGATTCAAGCAAATGTGCTGTTTCTTTTAGATATTTGTGGCTTGATGATTATGGAAGTTCAAAATAATACATTTTAAGAAATATATAACATTAATTGTCCTTCAGTGCAATTAAATAAAATGTATTATAGTTTACATTTACATTAAATGCAATTAACAAAACTTTTTAGAGTGCTTAAGTAGGACAGAAGAATATAATTAACTTTATGTAATTGCATGATTACTTTTTTGTTTTTGAAATATGGTTTAAGTGACAAGCATTTAAAATATACTGTAATGTAATTTCTGTTGAAATGTGTATGTAATTAAATATACGCATTTAAAATATTTACTTTAAATGTAATATTGAATTACACACTACAGTTACAAGTATCTTACATGTACTTTTTAGTATGTTAGTCAACACATCAAAATAAATGTACCTTAAAGTGAAACATGTAATTTGACATTATTAGTAATTTTTTTCGTGTACTTAAGTGTCAAGAAACAGTCTTATTATATTTAAATACATTTTTTGATAATAGACTTTTAAGATTTGAAGTATGTACAAGTGATCAACAAAAAATGTTTTATATGTCCAGCATACTTAGCAATGTTTTTTCCATGTTCTGCCAGCAGGGGGCAGTACCACATCCAGAGGAAGAGTTGGATCGACTCACCAAGAAGTTGGTGTATGATATGAATCATCCCCCTACTGAGGAATATTTTGGTATGCTCCAACATTTTACATCCTCAGTGTTGTACTTTTGCTTTTACATCATACATGTGTTTCAATAAGGGTCATGGATTTCTCTCTCTCCATCTGTCTCCCTCAGGTCGATGTGCTCGGTGTGGGGATAATGTTTTGGGAGACGGCAGTGGCTGTATTGCCATGGAGCAGGTGTTTCACGTGGAGTGTTTCACCTGTATCACCTGTAATGCGCGTCTGAGAGGCCAGCCCTTCTATGCACTAGACAGGAAGAGCTACTGCGAGAGCTGCTACATTGTGAGATTATCTGTAGACTTCTCTTGGTTTCTGCCTCTTATTTAGTTTTTTTCTTTCTACATTCAGACTCTTAACGTTTGTTCTTCCCCTATGCTCCCAGAGCACACTTGAGTGCTGTTCGAAATGCTCTGAGCCCATCCTAGACCGGATCCTGAGGGCGATGGGAAAGGCTTACCACCCTCGCTGTTTCACATGTGTGGTTTGTGGCTGTTGCCTGGATGGAGTGCCTTTTACTGTGGACGCCACATCTCAGATCCACTGTATTGAGGACTTTCACAGGTACTCAACAACTTCCTTTTTTTCTGTTTCTGTGTGGTTTGAAGTCTCTGTTTCTGTTGATAAACAGAAAGCTCCACCAAATGTCTAAACAGTTACTACATGGAATTTATTATTAAAACCTTGTTTGCTGCTTCTTTGAACAGGAAGTTTGCCCCCCGCTGCTCATTATGTGGCCAGCCCATAATGCCAGAGCCTGGGCAGGAAGAAACGGTGAGGATCGTTGCACTGGATCGCAGTTTCCATGTTAACTGCTACGTCTGTGAGGTAAGAATTTTCTGACTTCCACTTCATGTTTAATCATTTATGTAACGCAATCTCACATATTTGAGAATGGTTTATTTTAAACATGCATGTAAAATTACAGCTGCATTTAAAGGGTTAGTTCACCCAAAAATGAAAATTAGTCTGTGTTTTACTCACCCTCGAAGCATCCTAGGTGTATATGGCTTTCTTCTTTCAGACGAATCATATCGGAGTTATATAAAAAATTGTCCTGGCCCCTCCAAGCTCTATCATTGCAGTCAGCGGGTGTTTCTGTTCAACTGTCCACAAGTCGTCAAATAAAGTGCGCGCATCCATAATAAAATGTGCCTCACACGGCTCCGGGGGGTGAATAAAGGCCTCCTAAATATTACCGTACCAGTTTTCTAAAAATGTAATGTTTAAATATGAGGCATTGACTTATTAAATATGCACTAATTTGCCTAAATGTCCAGAATAGAAATCTGAACATTGGATAGAACCAGGTTTAAAATTCTTGTTTTGTTTTTTTTTGACACAGGAGATTTTGAAGAATCTTATTTTATCACTCTATAAATCAGTAAAAAAAAAACTGTCAACAGCTAGAAAAATATTTTTGCAATGTTTTTAGGCATAAAATCTAGCATGCAAATGATACATTAATCTCGCATAGGTCTGGAATCCATGGCAGCTTTCATTGGCCAAGGCCCGCCCATGAGGCCGTTTGACCGACGTGTCAAACAACCAATCACAGTTCGTTTCGTTCAGCGTCACATTTCGGGGCATGGAAATGTCGCCACAATAAGAGACCGGTGTGTAAAACTCTCGGACGTATTTTAAAGATTCTATGCCGC